CCGTCGGTAAAGTTTCTGGGACACATTGTGAGTAAAGAAGGCATCTCCACGGATCCAGAGAAGGTTAAGGCTATTGTGGATCTGTGTGAGGAGGATTTGATGGTTGAGGGGACAGACATTCCCTCACCATCCAAGGTAAGATCCTTCCTTGGAATGGTTGGGTTTTACCAACAATTCTTTGAAGGATACTCAAGTATCAGCAAGCCTCTATTTGCCTTGACATCTGGCGTGACAAAGCCGAAATATAGCAAAGGTAGGAAGAGACCTGTGGCTAAGAAGCTGACGTTGGCTGATTGGAGCCCGGAATGCAGCGAAGCCTTCTCTAAGTTGAAGCAGGCGTTATTGGAAAATGCTACATTGGCTCATCCCGACTTCAGTAAGCCATTCCTGCTGTCCGTTGATGCCTCATCCAATGGCCTTGGTGCTGTGTTGTCACAACTGGCGGAGGGCGATGACGTGGCACGACCAGTGGCTTTTGCGAGCAAGTCTCTCAATTATGCCCAATCACGTTATCCTGCGCACAGGCTAGAGTTTCTAGCTCTGAAATGGGCTGTTTGTGACAAATTCAGTCATTGGTTGAAAGGCCAGCCGTTCACTGCGTGGACTGACAACAACCCGCTGACCTACATTCTCACTAAACCAAAGCTTGATGCCTGTGAGCAGAGGTGGGTGGCGAAACTTGCTCCGTATGACTTTCAAATCAAGTACATTCCTGGCCCTAAAAATGTGGTTGCTGACGCCCTCAGTCGCGAGCCTTTTGTTCAGCCGAGTATGCTGCATCGACTGACTAGAGTCCCGTATGGCGCACTACTGGAAGAAGCAAGTGTTGTGGATTCTGACCATGTACAGGATGTGTTTCGTCAGTCATGTGATCCAGCAGCTATGTTGCAGGCGGACCCGGGGGGCCTGGCCCCAGAGACCTCTGTCTCACGCCAAGCGGTGTGTGCGGTGCTTGAGCGTTCTTTGGACCATGACTGTTTACCATCACAAGCCTTCCTATTGCCACAACTTGTTCGATCCATTCAACCACATGAGTTGTCTGATGTCCACCCTCTACCCAGAGATAAGCTATTGGATTTACAGCGCGCAGACCCCAGTTTGAGTCGGGTGCTTCACTTTGTAGAACGTCGACGGCGTCCATCGAGGCGGGAGCGTGCGGCTGAGCCGGTTGAGGCCCTGCGGCTCCTTAGACATTGGGAAAAACTCACCTTGAACATGGGTGTCCTGTATCGTGTCTCCAAGGACGTTGTTACCAAGAGGAAAACTTTCCAGTATGTGGTGCCCTCTGCGCTAAAGGAGAAGGTTCTTAAAGGCGTACATGATGAGGCAGGTCACCAAGGCCAGAGGCGGACACTCTATCTGACTAGGCAAAGATTCTACTGGCAGGGGATGGAGACTGACGTGGTGCAGTATGTGCGGGGCTGTAGTCGCTGTGTGGTTAGCAAGTCTCCCGAGCCTGAGGCGAGAGCACCACTTGAAAGCGTTTCGACCTCTAGACCCCTGGAGTTGGTTTGTGTGGACTTTTGGTCGGCTGAGGACTCCTCCAACAGGTCCCTAGATGTTCTTGTCGTTACTGACCATTTTACTAAGCTGGCCCAGGCTTACCTCTGCCCCAACCAATCTGCTAAGGCTGTAGCGCAACAACTCTGGAACAACTTTTTCTGTGTGTATGGCTTTCCTGAGCGTGTACACTCGGACCAAGGAGCCAATTTTGAAAGTAGTCTGATTGAGGAGATGCTCCTGGTTGCTGGTGTTCATAAATCTCACACTACACCCTACCACCCCATGGGCAACGGAGCTGTTGAGAGGTTCAACCGCACCCTCGGTAATATGATCAGAGCTCTTCCACCAAAGGCCAAACACCGATGGCCCCAGCTACTGAAATCTCTCACTTTCTCTTACAACGCGACAGTGCATGAGACCACAGGCTTTGCCCCATTCCAACTGATGTTTGGCAGGACTCCCAGGCTGCCTGTTGACTTGTTGTTTGGCTCTGTTCTGTTAGATGATCAGGTGGTGGATTATGATGCCTATGTGCAGTGTCTCCGCCGTGATTTGGCAGACGCTATGAGGGTTGCCCAGTGCTCCACCACCAAGCAGCAGCGGAGACAGGAAAACCTTTATAACAAGAAGCTTAAGGGTTCCCCGGTGGATGTTGGTGACAGAGTTCTGCTAGCCAACAAAGGTGAACGAGGAAAAAGAAAACTGGCTGATCGCTGGGATGGCCACCTTTACACTGTTGTGGGGAAACAGGAGAACACTCACACCTTCAGGATTAGGAATTGTGCCACAAACCAGGAGAAAGTAGTCCACAGGAATCTCATCATGCCTGTAAACTTCCTGCCCCTCCCGACCGGGTCTGAGGATGATTCTGGTGGCAGTGATCTGAACACTGGTGCTTTAGAGGATTCCATGCTGGGAGATGAGATGTGCTCTGTTTCGCTGCCTAGCTGTGCACCTGAAGACAGGACGGTGTCCTGGGTCTCTGGACTCCCAGCCACCACCGTGAATCCACTGACTGCTTCGTCAGATGCTCCTGGTAATGATGACCCTGATGAGACTGTGATTGACCTACCTGTTGAACGGGAAGGTCCGACAGTCTTGACTGACTCTCAAGCAGTTGCCTCTGAGCCCCTAATTGACGCACAGCCTGCTGACAGCGGTTCTCTTGTCAGGTCGGATGAGCGTTGTCCTCGAATTAGCGCAGCTTGCAGTGAGGGGTCATTGGGGGTGAGGACTAGGTGTGGGAGGGCTGTTAGACCTGTTTTGAGGCTTATCCAGCAAATGCACCAGAAAGCTTTGTCATGGTTATGATGTTTTTTTTTGAGTACTTGTGAGTGTGACATGTTCTATGTCTCTTTTTGACTGTTGGGATGAGTTTTATGTATTTTCTCTGTACGGTAGAGCCCTGTATAGGACCACCAGTAGTGTGTGTCTCTGGGTGGGATGTATTGTATTGTACTGTACTGTATGTATTCTTTGATATCTTGTATATTAACATGTATACGGGCATGTTTTCCTGTGGGTGTTGAAAGGACTTGCTACCCTTTCTCATTCTAATTCTTAAGGGATAGCCATTGGCTGGACTACGAGGTGTCAATGATTGAAATGGTACTGTACATTTACGTTTGCGAGACATCTTCGTTTATTTTTATTATACTGAATATTCAAAAAAAAATAATAATATTTTTTTTTTTTTTCTGTTTTCATGTTGTGAATGACTTACCTGGTATGTTCGTGGTTTGGTTGAATTTTGTTTCTTTGGGGGGGTTTGGATGAGCAAGTGGAGATCAGCAGGGGGGAATGTAACGGGTGTTTGACTCCACTTGCCATCGCTAAGAGTCATGACAGGGTGTCACGTGGGTGCCCTCTAGTGGGTCCCTGCGGACGTGGGTGCGACACCCTGTAGCTAAAAAGTTAGTCTGCTGCAGGGTGTGTAACTGTTATGATGCCACGAGGTTCCTTCTGAGAACTTAACTTGTGTGTGTTCGCCAGGTGTCTTAACGTCACACAATAAACGGCCGATACGAGCCGAATGTGGTCCGTGTCCTGGTGGTGATTTTAACAACACAACGCAAGCAAGAGTACAACCGCTACACTGATACAAACTCTGTGATGTAGTCTTCACTAGGCAGCCCGCATATGTCTCCGCTGTTTAACTCATCAGTCAGGTCACCAAGATATGCCCCCAGGGGCGGCACCCAGTCGCTCCCTCGCGATGTAAAGACAATGCTGTCTGTGTCACAGTACAAGACCCTCTCCTGCAGTTTGTCTAACAAGTCGTAGAGCATCAATCTGGCATGGGCAGTTGTCAGGGCTCCTATAAAGACGTTTACGTCTTTTATACGGGAACCGCGGGCGTCTGCATGTCGCCACTGTACCAAAGCCACGTCATCTGAGATAAAACAGAATTGTCGCACATCAAAGTGGTCGCTAAACATCAATTGTGTGAACCGAGCCGGATCTGTGATCAGCTCGCATGCAGGCATATTATTGCGCATACTAAAACGGCCCCACAAAGAGTTTAGGAGGAGTTTGTTGCAGCTTCTCATGGCTTTGTTGACCATGATTTTGTCAGGGTTTAATTGAATGCCTTCCTTTTCAAAATAGTCTTTGACATATTTCTCCTTGTCGTCGGGGGTTTTGACATGGCCAGGGTAGCCTGACGCTTCCTGTTTACACTTCATGAATGTCTTCACATACCCGCTGAACAATGTGTCTGTTTTGTTGGGAAAATGCCAAACTTCATCAATGGACACAATCCTGTTTCCCTTTTCCACAGCCTTCTGCAGTTCAATTGACACCCAGACCCCCGGCAGCAGTCTGTCTCTGTCTCTGTGAGTGCACTCGCCACTCTGATTCAAATCCTCAGCACATTTGCCACACAATGGGAACATGAGTTTGTCATGACATCTGTATGGTAGGACCGGGTGAAACAGCCCTCTGGGCGGTAGCAATGTGCACTTTATGAGTCCAAAATACTTGTCAATAGACTCAAAATCCTTCAGGATAACCTGAGGATGTCCAACGGGATACTGCTTTTTAGCCTGAACCGTCGGATAAAGACTGGTGAAGTCGTAGTACCTGATTTTTTCATCAGCACCGATCTTGTGTTACAGCTTCATAGCGTTTGTACGTCCCCCAAAGAGGGCCTTTCTAGGCTCTAGACGCTCACGCTTTTTGTAAGTAGCCATAAAAGCCTGTACAGCCCCGCTCGTCCGTTTTAACGAAGACCACTCACACTCCCACATCACTACAACTCGCAGCCTGTGTTGTTTTTGTAGAGAATATATTTTGTCCATGAACACCCTGTATTGTCTACCGTAGGTGATTTTTGTAACAGGGTTCATGTCGCTCTGGACGTGGCATTTGACACATCCGTGGAAAAAACATCCCGCAAATTCATAGCAAGTGTTTGTTACAGAGTCATAGCCATCCACATAGAACGGCTCAAAAAGCTGTTCACCGTGATTGAGAGCATGTTTAATCTCGATATTCTCTGTGAGGGCCACATATTCAAGCCATTGCATCGATACATCAGAATACGTCTTATTCTGAGCAGTGTATGCCCCCTCAAACGTTAGAGCAACTGTGTCCTTTGGGAGAAACAGGGTTTTCAACACCCCCATGCAGCTGGATGCTAGGGTGGTAAATGAGAAGGGGTCAAGCTCCGTGCACTCTATGAATGTCTCCCGATAGATGGTGCAGGCTTTTCGCAACACTTCTACATCGTTAACACAGTAGCGTCCGATTTCTTTTTGGAAGTCAAATGTTCCTCCTGAAACGGCATTATACCATTCCATGAATGTCGCTTTATCGCTATCACTCATATCGTCAAAGCCGTAGTAGGACGGATCAGGATATTTACCGACATAATACTCATGCTCCCGGGTGTTGAACTTGTGGGGAAAATAGCCTTTCTCGACATCACTGAACCCTAGGGCAGCGGGGGGTTTTGACAATCGCATGGGCAGGAAACTGAATGAGTCAATCCATCTCTGCCGCTATGAAATGTCATACATCAGTATTACCCTACTCCCTCTCATGGTGACTTGCGGAGTGATCTTTTGTTTTACAAAATATTCCAACAGAATATAGTTGTCAAAGCCGGATGCGTTGTGGGCGATAAACGTGTAGCCTTTGTATCTAGGTCTTCTGTAATACTTCACAAAGGTGTCCACACAATTCAAAGTACTGAAACAAAACTTTTTTCCCTCTAAATCCATAGCACATACATAATTTGCCTCGTGTTTTCCTTTATGAAACCTTGTCTCAAAGTCAAATAATATGTAGGTTGTTTGCGGCTCTTTCTTTTCAAGAGGCTGAATAAAACACTCATGTTTATCATTGCTCTCCAACTGTTGCTCACCACAGTGGGCGCAGACTTTTGGAGCGCATTTGTGCGCTTTTTGTCCTGCTTTGTATGTTTTTCCACATGCCTCACAGTATTTCATAGCATCACAGGGGATGAGGGCATGGACGCTTTCTGGCCGCTTGTGCTGATCAAAACAATATTTCGACTTACATATGCGTTTACAATCACCGCATTTCTGTGTTTTACCCAACTGTGTACGACACTCTAATGTAAAACACACATTACACAGCTGTTCACAGCTGTGGTATAATCGATGTTCATAGGCTTGGTAGCAATACTGGCATACTTGTTTTGCCCCAAAAAAGCCTTGCTGGTTTTCAATCAGGTGATAATGGTCATTGTGTAGATATAACCAGACTGTCCGGGGATGAGGCGCATCGTGGGTTTGGAAACACTGAAGTCGTTTACGACCTGCTGCTGCATGGTGGAAGATTATGATTTTCACACCCAGATGTCTTTCAAAAGCATCTACATCGGAGAATGAGACCTTGTGCATTGGTCCAAAACCCAACGAACTATGTAGTTGAGTTGCAAATCTCACTTTATCTTGCAGGGACATGTCTGGATGATTAAAATGTGCTAAACAGAGCGAAAAGCACAGGTTATTATCAGTATTGTCAGGGGTGTGCAGAAACCGACCCTTCTTTGATAATATCACATCATATGGGACATTTGCTAATTTTAGATAACCCCCACCGTTTCTATTTTTAGCAATTCATCATCCGTTATAGTCTCATCATTGCTCTGTATCACTTGTGCAATTTGCTCCATAAACAAGTCAGAGTTGTACGACTCGTTTACACGTAGAACAGCTTGTATGTCACTAGCCAATGAAGGGCCCCGTAACAAAACGTTCAGCACACTACCAGCTGGAGAGGCCTCTACAGCTCTATCAATTACACCCGCCACTCTTTCTCTGACCATGTAGGGGATTTGCTCGACGTCAGTAAGATCCACGTTTCTGAAATCAACCCTTTGTCTAAGCTCAAATGCATTGAATGAAGGCATCTCTCTCATGGTGACTGTCCTTCCCTCTATGCCTGAGGAGGTCTCACCCCCCCTCATTATCTCCCCTCCTCCTCCTGTTAGTGTATCATCATGCCCCCCTTCTGTTCGGGCCTGCTCCCATGACCATCCCTCTTGACCCTCAGCAGGCCCCCCAACACCCTGTTCATGCTCCACATCTCCATTTGCCCCCATCTGATTCAGCCGGTCGTCACATATTTCTGCCAACACACACCCCCCAGCCCCTGCATCATTGTCTGTGTACACAAGTGGGCCGTCTGCATGATCCAACACGTGGCTATTTGCGCCTGTGGTATTAAACCCTGGGTCTAGGACACTGACCAAGTCTACATAGCCGCTATCTAGATACGATGAATGTTGTTTTGTATAATGAATTCTGTCAACATCATGAAAAGCTTCTGCAGCGTATGCAGCAGCAGCAGCAGCAGCAGCAGCAGCATCAACGCGCGATCTCTCCACCAGTGCATGTAGGCTTTTAAGCTGTTTCTCTGTATTCTGTAACAGGACCCTATACCCATCATCATTATTATTATGGTTATCCCCTGATCGATGTATATCACCCGTGCCCCTCTTCAAAACTTTTCTGGGGGGAGGCATACTACACGTCTGTATTGTTTATTTAGACACCACCCCTTATAGACACCATGCCTAGTAGATTACCTTGGATAAAATTTATTTGTAAGTAGAGCTATGATAGCTTCACTGGATGCATTCTGAGCTATCAGGTATTGTTTTATGGAACAGCCGTTGGCGTCCTGTGTTTGTCTAGCCTCTTGTTTCTTACATAGATCGGTTACTATCTCTTTTAATGCGGTGTTGGAACGACGCAGTTCACTGATTTCATTTATCAACTCTACATATAAGGGGTTAGCGGTGTCCCTCGGGTGCACAATCACCACCGTGGGTTCTGTGGGTATACCTGCTCTGTTTTGTTGAAATGGGGTTACACACTCTGCCGATGTTGCTCCTATTGCAGTACTCTCTTCTTCATAGTCACAGACCGCCTGCAGCATTTCCTCGTCAGTCAAACATTCTGGATAGTTCCATGTGTCCTTTGTTGGTGTTGACAGGTCAAGCTGCTCCCTACTGTACAAGCATACACGGTTTAACAACAATAATCACTAAAATACATAAAAAATATTTGATATTGTTCCAGTTACCTGCAACCCCTGTTTGACAGCGACGGTCAGCCGACTTTTCCCGAGATGTCGACTCTTTCAAGAGAATTATAAAATCATCTGAATGATTCGTCAAATAATAAATATATAGAAAGCTTATATCATACTGACATTTTTCCCTACCTTTGCCAGCTCTCTGGTTGGGGCACGTAGTCGTTGTTGGTAGACAATTGAGTGCAGCAATCTCCTTTTTCAGTTTTTCAAGACTCCCATGTATAGGATGCGAGTTGTCATCTATTTCTAAAAGGTGTAAATACCTATTAAAAATATATACAAATATATATAAAAACAAATATGAATCACTCGCCATAGTACAATCTTTAAAGCTTTTTATTTTTATTTTTTAATTTATACCAATGTATGTGTGTATATATATATATGGAAATGGCTTAAATGTGAGGATGCACCAGTCTGCCAGGGTGTCAAGAAGTGAACCGTGGCTGTATCTATATAGTAAGGATCCTGTTTTTCACACACCAGGGTCTCGGTGGGGGTGGGGGTTCATATGTTGATTAAAACTAAACAAACTGCTCACTGTTTACCACATAAGGACTCTGTTTTTCTCCATCCCTGTGGGGCTCTCAAGCTATTTAGGGTTTAGCACCGTTTGGGTGCTGAGTGACATTATGCGACCCTAAGTCGACACACTTGTTCCTCGTTAAAAACTGTATGTTTTCCTGAGGGTTTTTCCTCTGTTAGGTTACAATGTGTGTCCTGTTGGCTAAGAAGAAGATAGCCCCCTAATTCATGCATTAAGCTGTTATTTTTGAATCTGAACAGAAGCGCCAGTGTCTCACTGTTTTGTGGAGGGGCCTCTCATACCATTGAAGAGAAGCAGAAGAAGACGTTTGGGGGTTGGCCCCGGCTGGTGTGCTGTGTCACATGATGCTGCACTAAGTCGACATATGTGTTCCTCGTTAAACCTTAAGATGTATGTTTTCCTGAGGGCTTTCCTCTGTTAGGTTACAAATTGTGTTCTATTGGCTAAGAAGATAGCCCCCTAGTTCATGCATTAAGCTGATATTGGTGAATCTGAACAGAAGCACCAATGTCTCACTGGTTTGTGGCGGGGCCTCTCATACCTTTGAATAGAAGAAGAAGAAGAAGACGCCACTGGGACCACACTGGGATAGGCCTCTGCTGTTTCACTAAGAATCCTGGAGCGTGAACCAGTCCAAAAGGAAAGTTCGATCGAGGCGCCAAATAACCCCTCTATATATATATGATGAAACCCCTCCTACAGTCCCGTGTTTCCGGTCAAAACTAACGCCCATCGCATAAAACACCCCCTGAAATGGCAAATTTCCAATCAAAACCACGCACATCATCGTCAAAAATGGTTTACGTTTCCATTCGTAAAATGACGCATTTCCGGGCATGACTTCAAAATGGCGGCGGTCACATGCCCACCCCCACCCCTCCTACCCCCCAAAAGTTCAATGACGCATTTCCGGTCAAAATGGCGGCGGTCACATGCCCACCCCCCACCCCTCCTACCCCCCAAAAGTTCCCTCTTGCACGTGTCTGAGGTCAAAGGTCACATGCCAACCCCCCCACCCCACCCCTCCTGCCCTCCAAAAGTAGGTCTTTATTACTACTTACAGTATCTTACTATACTTCCATTACTTCATTTAAATAGTTTGAAACATGTCGGCCTATAAACCGCTCATAGGGCACAATAGAAGGTGGTGAGGAGAGGGAAAATCATGGCACAAGTACTTTAAAATTTTGTTCGGTAAAAAAAAATCCTAGTTAAAAATATTAATTTACCTGAAAGGAAACCCAAACTTCTCAACAGATTCTTGGAAGAAAGGCAGGGTAGTTGATGCTAAGTTGTTGGAAGCGACACCAAGATACATTATCTGCAGCACAAATGCCATTACATCACTATGAGACGCTTAACTATTTAATGATTATGAAAATGTGTGTAGTGTACACTTTGTCCTGACAACTGTGCTTACCTTGCGGGAAAAACCGTCAACCCACCAAAGATAACAATGAAAAATGCTGAATTTGTCAATGTGGTGGAAATTGTGGATTTAGGCCTTGTGAGAAATCAAAAGTATCAGAGACTCGCTTATGATTAAGTATTTTACTAACCAGAATATAGGAAATATCATAAGTATACAAAAATCATCAACACAAGCCGTAAGCACAGACAGAAGTCAAATGACTACAATTCAGCTGAAAAGGGACAGAATGTTCCTTCCCCCAAAAGGAGCAGGAAGATCTGACAAAGTTTCTGGGGGGAACCAGGAGCTTTTATACATCTCTGAAGGTTCGAAGAATGGTAACCAGATGTTGTTTCGGGAACCTCCGCGACCCTCTCTTAGTGGGACCAAGTCAATCATTTTGACAGACAGGAAAACAGAGGAGAAAGGTAAATAGAAGAACATGATATGGTCTGTCCAAGCCACATATGGATTTCATCGTAGACTAGGTCAGGTCACGAGTTTCCCAAGAAAGGTCACATACCAGTTCTTGAGACTCTCACAATATGCACCTCAACAAATTCTCCCCCGACATCCCTCTCTTTTTGTCATTCTTTGACAACTAAGAACTCAGAAAACGTTAAACAATCAATTCAAAATCAAGAAAGGAATAGTAAACATAACAACTCTTAGAACATACATCAGTGGTGTAAATTCACGAAGATTCAGGACACCAATTCATTAACTTTTAAGTGCATGTGAACCCTTGCTACCACTAACACGCATATATTGTTTAGTTACTGTCAGAGCTATCCGGATATGGTGGAGTCCATTTCTGAACTGGACGCTGTGTAGTAATACTCATGTGTTCAACTGATACATAAGTACTGACAACCTTCCTTACGAGCTTCCTTCCTCTAAAGCTTAAGAGCTTTAAAACAGTTACAATTAGTGTTATAACAATTACAGACAGAATGATGCCCCCCAACACCCATAGCAGTCCTTTAAAGAGAGAAGTTCCCCATGATCCAACCCATGCCTGCATTCCCCCAAAAGGATTCCAGCCGTGGTCTTCATGCAACTCCTTAATGCCTTGTTCTGTGTCTGCCACCACATCATAAACTGATGATGTTGCACCAGAGAAGTGCAACATTCAGTGTTAATTATCTTGCATACCCCGCCTTGTGAGGCCAAAACGAGGTCCAGAGCCATTCTATTTTGTAATACCATGTGTTTGATGTCATTTACTTCCTTCTGCATTTCGGAAAGTGCTATTGAAGTCTTATTCATGTGTCGTTCCAGTACTGTTGAGAGTGCCATTATTTCCTCCTGGCTCCTGTAGGTGCCATACGATGGTATTAGTATGCTCAAAATCCTTGAACCTAGTGAAATGGCGCGTTTATGACGTACATGGAACGGAGCAGGTTCCTTGGAGTCAGCCTGTATAATTAGGGGTATAAGGTATGCTAAATAGCATTTCCCAGTAACTGACCTTTTATGAAGGTTCCCTATGACAGGAACACAGCTATAAGCGATGTTGCCGCAAACTAAATAAACCTGTTCCGGTAATGCAAGATCTTTGGATTCAGTGGCAAAGCTGATAATATCATTACTACAGTCACTCGTACCTAGATGAAATCCATCCAGAGCATAGAAGTTAACACAGCGGCTGACATTTGTTAAGGGATGGACCGGAATGGGAGGTGCTGGTTTGGTACAATCTCTACTCGGAGGTCTGGTTGGGATTAAAGGTTTACTACAATTATGTCTACTCCAGGTTGAGTGTGTGACTTTAAAATCGTTTCCCCAGGGGATGCCCTGTATGCCCATTTCCAATCGAATAGATGCTGTATTTGGTAAGAGAGCACAGGCAGTTTTTAACACTTCACTGTCAGCTGTGCAATTAGTCTCACCGAGAGTCATTTTCACTTGCACTGCATGAAAAGTGGGATTTTCGGCAGTATGCGGCACTGTAAATTGTCGTGGAATTTCAGGTTTGCAGCAAATTGCGGGCAACGCCGAAAACTGCCGTAAATTGTCAGAAATTGATGTGGGCCTCCCTTGGCAGTTGTCCCCCCATGACCCCCCTTCTCCTAATTCTAGGGGAGGCTTTGACATGTAAATGAAAATGCTGTGAGCTATACAAATGCAAATCAGAGTCGCAGAGGGAGTTTTAGCCCAGGTGACATTTTTTTAAAAGGTAAGAAAATCTCTGGTACAAATAAATCAGGCTCAGTAGCCTAATTATAGACTCTTACATTTTAGCTTGAATTGATTTATTTAATTCAAATATGCTAGATTACTGTGTACGCCATTAGCAATGGCAAATGTTATGTAAAAAATATACACAAAATAACTTCTTTAAAAAAATTGTTTTAATCAAGGTAAAATGAGCATTCCATGCAAACAGCATTTGAATCAGAATGAGGGGTCTGCAGAGATCACAGTCTCCTAGAGCTCAACTACAGTGCATAGTGGCAGGACTACAGTGACCTTTTCTTTGGTCTTACTTAAATGCACAGAGGATGTATTAACCACACATCTTCTGGCAGAAATGATGCTGGGTATGACGTGTCTGTTCCCTGCAAGCCCCAAACTTCTATTGGCTTTCCATAAAAATGTCTGTCCGGGTGGAGATGAAGCCAGGAAACTTGTGCAAGAACATGTTTAAATGCCGTACCCTTTGACACAACATTAACAACTATAAACTGCTTTATAATGGCTGGTCGCAGTTCTGCTAGAGGGTCAAGGACGGGTTCCTCAAAACTGTTAGTGTTTCCACACCACTTAGCATGAACACATGCTGACCTTTATGCTCTGCATCTATCGATTGAGTAAGTTACATTCATATATGTTACCCGTTTACATGTCATGGCAAAACATTCAACCTCAGTGACACAAGGGTACATCTGATGATACATTGTCAACATTGCATGTCTGTCAGACTCAAGAGTGTCTGGTGGAATGGAGAAAGAGGCACCACTGTACAGTTTTCTAGGGAAAGTCGTTCTGCTGACACCAAAACACTGCTTTACATAAAGCATATCAGCTGTTTCAAAGTCCCAACCATTTGTCATCCTAAAATACTGGTCCTTCCGTATAACAATAACCTCGTATGTGATTGGAGGACCCTTAGACTCCTCGTCCAATCACGTGTGAGGTCATAGGCATGACTGATACAGCAGTACTTGCAAGACGAGCATACAAACAGACACGTGTGTGTTACTATATTCAGAAGAACTGTATCTCCAGTTCCTTTGTTTGGTTTTTGCTGCTTCGTGAATAATGGCTGGACGACGTCTCGCGCTCAACTCGCCTTCAACTCTT